AGCATCGCCGATGAAGGCCGGGGCATGACAAGACGAGGTGATTGGTCGGTGGTGGTGTGGCAACCACAAGGCCCGGTCAGTAAGAAGATCTCCCCACAAACACACGCACGCGTAGTGACAGCGAGCACGCATGGCGTGGCGTTGTACGAGGCAAGCGATGAGCAAAGCAATGAGATGCCACAGGTACACGAGGCGTGAGACGGGGAAAGTGCGAGATTGACACGGTGGAGAGAGCAGAGGGGGACGAGGGGACACGTCGAGAGACATCGAACGGTGAGACGGCGAGTGGGAAAGAAAGACAACAGAGGTTTAGTGCGTGGGGTATGAGCGATTTGGTGTGCGGGATAGAGTCGAAGAGAGTAAACTCGGGAGAAGAGCAGACTTGGATGAAGGAGATCACCCAAAAGCGAGCAGAGAGAGTGTGTGTGGAGAGGGGGGGTCACGGCTTAATAAGAATAACAGGAGGCATCAGAGAGAGAGCGTTGCAAAGGGGGAATGATGCAGTGAAACGTGGAGGTATGGAACTAGAGATTTGTAGCGGGGAAGAGCATGAGGGGTGTAGGTGAAGAGAGTAAACACGGCGGGGGTGCAGTGCCGTGCAGGCATGAGACGCAAGAAAGTGTGGCAGGGTGACACGTGTGGCAGGGTGACACACGTGGCAGGATGACATGTGTGTGGGAATGAACGAGTGGTGAGAGTGAGACAGAGCCGGTGTAAGAGATGGCAGGAGAGTGTGTGTGAATGAACGAGTGGTGAGTGGAGAGAGAGTGTGTGAATGAACGAGTGGTGAGTGGAGAGAGAGCCGGTGTACGAGATGGCAGGAGAGAGTGTGTGAATGAACGAGTGGTGAGTGGAGAGAGAGTGTGTGAATGAACGAGTGGTGAGTGGAGAGAGAGTGTGTGAATGAACGAGTGGTGAGTGGAGAGAGCGTGTGAATGAACGAGTGGTGAGTGGAGAGAGAGTGTGTGAATGAACGAGTGGTGAGTGGAGAGAGTGTGTGAATGAACGAGTGGTGAGTGGAGAGAGAGAGTGTGTGAATGAACGAGTGGTGAGTGGAGAGAGTGTGTGAATGAACGAGTGGTGAGTGGAGAGAGAGAGCGTGTGAATGAACGAGTGGTGAGTGGAGAGAGAGTGTGTGAATGAACGAGTGGTGAGTGGAGAGAGTGTGTGAATGAACGAGTGGTGAGTGAAGAGAGTGTGTGAATGAACGAGTGTGAGTGGAGAGAGAGAGTGTGTGAATGAACGAGTGGTGAGTGGAGAGAGTGTGTGAATGAACGAGTGGTGAGTGGAGAGAGAGCCGGTGTACGAGATGGCAGGAGAGAGTGTGTGAATGAACGAGTGGTGAGTGGAGAGAGAGTGTGTGAATGAACGAGTGGTGAGTGGAGAGAGTGTGTGAATGAACGAGTGGTGAGTGGAGAGAGAGTGTGTGAATGAACGAGTGGTGAGTGGAGAGAGCGTGTGAATGAACGCGTGGTGAGTGGAGAGAGTAGTGTGTGAATGAACGAGTGGTGAGTGGAGAGAGTGTGTGGAATGACGAGTGGTGAGTGGAGAGAAGCGAGAGTGTGTGAATGAACGACTGGTGAGTGGAGAGAGAGTGTGTGAATGAACGAGTGGTGAGTGGAGAGAGTGTGTGAATGAACGAGTGGTGAGTGGAGAGAGAGAGAGTGTGTGAATGAGTGAGTGGTGAGTGGAGAGAGAGAGTGTGTGTGAATGAACGAGTGTGAGTGGAGAGAGTGTGTGAATGAACGAGTGGTGAGTGGAGAGAGCGTGTGAATGAAACGAGTGGTGAGTGGAGAGAGAGTGTGTGAATGAACGAGTGGTGAGTGGAGAGAGTGTGTGAATGAACGAGTGGTGAGTGAAGAGAGTGTGTGAATGAACGAGTGGTGAGTGGGAGAGAGAGAGTGTGTGAATGAACGAGTGGGTGAGTGGAGAGAGAGTGTGTGAATGACGAGTGGTGAGTGGAGAGAGAGTGTGTGAATGAACGAGTGGTGAGTGGAGAGAGAGTGTGTGTGAATGAACGAGTGGTGAGTGGAGAGAAGAGAGAGTGTGTGAATGAACGAGTGGTGAGTGGAGAGAGAGTGTGTGAATGAACGAGTGGTGAGTGGAGAGAGAGTGTGTGAATGAACGAGTGGTGAGTGGAGAGAGTGTGTGAATGAACGAGTGGTGAGTGGAGAGAAGAGAGAGTGTGTGAATGAACGAGTGGAGAGAAGAGAGAGTGTGTGAATGAACGACTGGTGAGTGGAGAGAGAGTGTGTGAATGAACGAGTGGTGAGTGGAGAGAAGAGAGAGTGTGTGAATGAACGAGTGGTGAGTGGAGAGAGAGAGTGTGTGTGAATGAACGAGTGGTGAGTGGAGAGAGAGTGTGAATGAACGAGTGGTGAGTGGAGAGAGAGTGTGAATGAACGAGTGGTGAGTGGAGAGAGAGTGTGAATGAACGAGTGGTGAGTGGAGAGAGAGAGTGTGTGAATGAACGAGTGGTGAGTGGAGAGAGAGTGTGAATGAACGAGTGGTGAGTGGAGAGAGAGTGTGAATGAACGAGTGGTGAGTGGAGAGAGAGTGTGAATGAACGAGTGGTGAGTGGAGAGAGAGTGTGAATGAACGAGTGGTGAGTGGAGAGAGAGTGTTGGAATGAGTGAGTGGTGAGTGGAGAGAGAGAGTGTGTGAATGAACGAGTGGTGAGTGGAGAGAAGAGAGAGTGTGTGTGAATGAACGAGTGGTGAGTGGAGAGAGAGTGTGAATGAACGAGTGGTGAGTGGAGAGAGAGTGTGAATGAACGAGTGGTGAGTGGAGAGAGAGTGTTGGAATGAGTGAGTGGTGAGTGGAGAGAGAGTGTGTGAATGAACGAGTGGTGAGTGGAGAGAGAGAGTGTGTGTGAATGAACGAGTGGTGAGTGGAGAGAGAGTGTGAATGAACGAGTGGTGAGTGGAGAGAGAGTGTGAATGAACGAGTGGTGAGTGGAGAGAGAGAGTGTTGGAATGAGTGAGTGGTGAGTGGAGAGAGAGAGTGTGTGAATGAACGAGTGGTGAGTGGAGAGAGAGTGTGAATGAGTGAGTGGTGAGAGACAGAGTCGGTGTAAGAGATGACAGGAGAGAGTGTGGGAACGAGTGAGTGGTGAGTGGAGAGAGAGTGTGTGAATGAACGAGTGGTGAGTGGAGAGAGAGAGTGTGTGAATGAACGAGTGGTGAGTGGAGAGAGAGTGTGTGAATGAACGAGTGGTGAGTGGAGAGAGAGAGTGTGTGAATGAACGAGTGGTGAGTGGTGAGTGGAGAGTGTGTGAATGAACGAGTGGTGAGTGGAGAGAGAGTGTGTGAATGAACGAGTGGTGAGTGGTGAGTGGAGAGTGTGTGAATGAACGAGTGGTGAGTGGAGAGAGAGAGTGTGTGAATGAACGAGTGGTGAGTGGAGAGAGAGTGTGTGAATGAACGAGTGGTGAGTGGAGAGAGAGAGTGTGTGAATGAACGAGTGGTGAGTGGAGAGAGTGTGTGAATGAACGAGTGGTGAGTGGAGAGAGAGAGTGTGTGAATGAACGAGTGGTGAGTGGTGAGTGGAGAGTGTGTGAATGAACGAGTGGTGAGTGGAGAGAGAGTGTGTGAATGAACGAGTGGTGAGTGGTGAGTGGAGAGTGTGTGAATGAACGAGTGGTGAGTGGAGAGAGAGAGTGTGTGAATGAACGAGTGGTGAGTGGTGAGAGAGAGTGTGAATGAACGAGTGGCGAGTGTAGAGAGAGTGTGTGAATGAACGAGTGGTGAGTGGAGAGAGAGAGTGTGTGAATGAACGAGTGGTGAGTGGAGAGAGAGCCGGTGTAAGATATGGCAGGAGAGAGTGTGTGAATGAACGAGTGGTGAGTGGAGAGAGACAGAGCCGGTGTAAGAGATGGCAAGAGAGTTGAGACATCGTGTGTTGAGCAATCGGTGCACGGGCCGCGTGGGTCGGGAGCGAGGAAGAGAGCGGGGCTAGAGGCATGGACGGTGCTGCAAGGAAGTGCACGGGAGGCGATGGGGCCGAGGTGCGTAGCCAGCGAGTGAAAGACCCATCAGCAGCAGAGATCACAGTCGAGTACAGCACCAGAGAGAGAGACACAGAGAGAGAGACACTGAGAGAGACACAGAGAGAGACACTGAGAGAGACACAGAGAGAGACACAGAGAGACACTGAGAGAGACACAGAGAGAGACACTGAGACACAGAGAGAGACACTGAGAGAGACACAGAGAGACACACACAGAGAGAGAGTTAAGAGAGTTGAGTGGCATTGCACGCGTGGCGGAAGAGAGTGAGAGAGTGAGAGAGAGAGAGGAGATGGTGCAGCAGGGGGACATGGGAAGAGCAGCAGGAGCGACACCGAGAGAGCTGCAGACACCCAGAGGGGAGGGAGACGAGTCAACCTGCAGCAGGAGCAGCAGCAGGAGCAGCAGCAGCAGGAGGACACACAGCGGAGCATGCATGGAGTGAGGAGAGAGATGACGGACATCACGGGGGGGGGGGGGGGAGGGGGGTGCTAACAGCTGGAGACACCGACAGAGGTGCAGACACCGAGAGAGGAGACGAGTCAACCTGGAGCAGCAGCAGGAGCAGGAACAGCAGCAGCAGGAACAGCAGCAGCAGGAGGCCACACAGCGGAGCATGCATGGAGTGAGGAGAGAGATGACGGACATCACGGGGAGGGGGGTGCTAACAGCTGGAGACACCGGGAGAGGTGCAGACACCGAGAGAGGAGACGAGTCAACCTGGAGCAGCAGCAGGAGCAGGAACAACAGCAGCAGGAGCAGGAGGACACACAGCGGAGCATGCATGGAGTGAGGAGAGAGATGGCAGTGACGGACATCACGGGGGTAGTGGAGATGAGGGGGGGGGGGCGCGCTAACAGTGCAGACACCGGCGGAGCAAGCGATGGCAGCTGTCGGAGAGAGAGACAAACACGGCGGTGAAGAGGGGGGGGGGGGGGGGGGGAGACGACAGACAGAGAGAAGAGAGAGAAGAGAGGGAGCCGTGGCCACGCACCGACTCCTCCTCTCGCTCCATGCCCGTGGGCATCTGCGGCACGGCGCGGCTGATGGAGACGGCGTCCTGCAGGTCGGGCAGCGCCTCGGCGCGGAACACGGGGAGCGGCTTCGAGGCGTCCAGCGCCCGGGCGCGGAACGACAGCTTGCTGCTCATGTCTCCGCTTGGTTTCTACTCTCCCCCCCCCCAAGCTAAAACAACAACACAAAGACGGTGGTGGCGGTGGTGGCGCCTCCACCTCCCACCCCCGTGAGGCTTCCCCCCCGATCCCCCCCGCCCCGGCCCGGGGGGTCCCGCCTCACGGCTCCTTTAGGCGGCCGCTCGCCCCGGCGTCCATGATCGTGGCGACGGCGACGGCGGGTGTTGTTGCGAATCGATGGCCGGGGTGGTGGTGGTTGCGGATGGTCGTCGTTTTGTTGTTGTTGTGTTTTTTTTTTGGTCAAGACGCTCGAGGTATAATAAAAAAAAATCTGTGCTCGGGTTTCGGTTCGTGTCTGATTCCCCCCCCCCGTGTGCCCCCCTTTTGTCGCGCGCTCTCTCTGCTCCCGCTGCTCCTGCTGCTGCTACTACCCCCCCCCCCAGCTTCGCTCCCTTCGGTTTTTTCTCCCCTCTAGCGGAGAGACGCCATTACAAGATGGCGGCGGCGGCGGCGAAAAAAACTTCCCGCCCCTGGAGCACGCGCGGCGCGAGCCCCCCCCCCCACCGCGCATGCGCGCGCTGTGACGTCACCCCGCAAAACACTCCCCCCCCCCATCCGCCCCACCACCACCCACACAGCTGCACCGCGTATGCGCGCGCTGTGACGTCACCCTCGCAAAATACACCCCCCCCCACCCACACAGCTGCATCGCGCATGCGCGCGCTGTGACGTCACCCCGCAAAACACTCCCCCCCCCACCACCACCCACACAGCTGCACCGCGTATGCGCGCGCTGTGACGTCACCTCGCAAAACACACCCCCATCCATCCACACCCCCTACCACCCCCACCGCGCATGCGCGCGCTGTGACGTCACCCCGCAAAACACTCCCCCCCCCACCACCACCCACACAGCTGCACCGCGTATGCGCGCGCTGTGACGTCACCTCGCAAACACACCCCCCCCCCATTCACACCCCTACCACCCACAGCCGCATCGCGCATGCGCGCGCTGTGACGTCACCACGCAAAACACACCACACCCCCCCCCCTAACTCCACCCCCCGGGCGTGTTGCTCAACGATTAAAACCACCCCAATTTCCTCCTCGGAGCGGATGACGTCACGGAGGGGGGGGGGAGGTTTAAAATGACGTCACGTAAACGCCGCTGTTTGTGGAAGGGGCGGGTGACGTCATCGCACAGAAAGTGACGTTATGCGGAAGAATTGGGGAAATCGGGGGGGGGGGGGCAGTGGGAAGGTCGCGGATCTGCCTTTCGGGTGGGGGGCCGGCGTGGAATTGTACAAAGTGACGTCACGCGTGGGGATGAAGTTTGTTGTTGACACGGCGGATGATGTCACGGTCCGACTGCAAGCTGGTGGGCAACGTCACGTCTGGTTCAAATTGACGTCACGTCTGGTTCAAAAATGACGTCACTTCCGGCTCTGATACTTGTTCCAGGGTCGACACGTCACAATAACTCGGTCGGCGGGAAGATTCGACGGTTGATGACGTCACAAACGGCTTGTCGGTTGACAAATGACAAGTCGACCGTGACATCACAAACAGGCTAGTGACTGCTGTGACGTCACGATCATAATTACACGAGGCAGCGTGAAGCGACGTCATTTTGTTAAGGAAACTGGACAAGTGATCGCTTGGCAACTTCTTAATAACCCAAGACTACGTCACAAGTCTTCTTGGTTCTTTCGGTAAAGTCACGTAGAAGGGAAATAATAAAATAATACAAATAAAACATAAAATAATTCTCACGACGTTTCGGCCACAACGCAAGCAGCCGTCCTCAGGCGAAACCAGGTCCTGTCGAGACGACAGCGTCTGAACCTTGGGTGGTCAAAACACCAAAAATGGATGTTCACAGATTCAAGAATTGACTAGGGGAGTGGGAATGCATCGACTCGCGATCGCCGGCCGGTCAGCGAAGACGACCGAGGCAACCTAAAATTATACTTTTTTTTAATTCCAAATCTGTTACATCAAAAAATAAAACACGTTACAATTATACCGTTAAAAATCTGCGAATCGCCATATATACACTTCATGAGACGCGGGGGGGTTGGGGTGAGGGGGCCGCGTCTTCCACCCTCACCGTTCACCGATAACCGTGTCTCTGCGCAATCCGCACAGTCGGCGAGACCCCCAAAGTACCGTGGAACTCCACCACCTCGCACACGCAGAGAAAAGGTGTGCGGGGAAGGTTATGGAATAATCATCCTAAGAGACCTGCCCCCACCCCCCATCCCCGGCCGTGTCCCAGTAACCAACATTGACAAACGTTGGGTCTCTTCTTAGAAAAAGATGGGTGGGTGGGTCGGTGGTTTTTAAATTTGGCGCAAAAAACAGCGAGCGCTTGGGGCTGGCCAGGCGACGGCTGGGATTGACCCGTTACCTCCGCAAGCCCGTCCGTGTCCAGCCAACGAAAATAATTACAAGGAGAAATGAAAAACTTTTAAATATAGGAGGAGAAAAGAAACTGCTTTGTGTGTTTTAGAATTTTTTTTTCACACGTGGCCAAGTCTTAAGGAGAGAGAGGAGGAGGAGGAGGAATCTATGGAGGATTCTGGAATAAAAAAATCGCCAAAGGTTTTGAAGAAGTTTGAAAATGTGGCGTCTAGATTTTTGCCCAAAGAAGTAGTTCCTCGAAACGAACTAGTCCCCTGTGGACGAAGCCCCCCGCGCGTACGACGAGAGGGGAGAGAGAGAACGCTTAATCCCCGTCGTGAAGATCGGTCTAAATGAGTACGTACATACTTGCTGCGCTGCCGTCAGCCATCGACGCAGGAGGCAATACCCCTGGGGGGCTGATGGGGCCATCTCACGAGCACATCGTCGTATCGCGCCACGCGTATCACCTGCCCCCCACCTCACCGCTCCACAACCGGAGACTCGGGGTGGGGGGGTAAATAGTAAAATCGGGGGCATCCGCAGAACGCCCGGTTGGGTCGAATGCGACCGACCGCGCTGGTAACCGTAAAAGCAGATCCGCTTTCTCATCCCACCGCCCCCGGTCGCCCCACCGGCGTGAAAAACAAATCTGGAGCAGGAAATTATTGTCAACCCCTGGAAACCCCCCCCCCCCCACGTCCGTTAGCACCTATGCAGACCGGCCACTTTAGAGAGTGCGCGCAGACCGACTTAATTTGTGAAGCAAATGAAACACACGTCGTTAGTTAGTTGTTGTTCGCTCGCCGCCGTGCGATCTACGCCATCAAACAAAAGAAACAAAAAAAATCGCTCCCAAAAACAAACAAAAATTCGCGGGCGGGCAAACGAACGCACTCCGTCCGCTTGGCGAGTCCCGACGCTTTCTCGTCTACAAAAAAATAAAAATCGGCCATCGTAATAATACAGCAGTATCATAACAAATGTGTACACCGTTTATACAGCGGGGGTTAATCTCACCGAATCACTCGCTCTCCTCTTTCGCCCTCTCTGCAGCAGGCTTGAAGCGGAGTCCGCGGTGCACTGTGTGCAAAAACCTCACGTCCGCCAGTGTAAGAACGCGCGGACGACACATCCCATACAGCACCTCCTTGCATCCGCGCAATCACAGAAAACCCATTTCTCCACGAGCCCTTACTCAACTACAGCGCTGCGATTGGGGAGGGAGGTAGGGCAGGTCAGGGGAAGGTTCGCGAGTTCAACGGAGTTGACCGTTGACGCTCCAAAACAAAAACAGGGGAGCCCGTCACCGTCACCCCCCCCCCCTTCCTCCATCAGGAAATGCCCCCAAAATAACATTCCCTCTCTCCACCAAGGGTCCTCTCGACCACGTAGGTTTTGTTGTTGTTGTTGCCGTCTGGCGGTTGTGCTGCTGCTGCTGCTGCAACGGCTCTCCGTGCGCTTCCCGTGGTGCTATTGTCCGGCCGTCTGTCCGACGTTGTGACGCCATCCACGTGCTGGGCAGCGTTCCTCGGGTACAACCGTGAAGAAAAAAAAAACATCGGGGAAGATCCTCTCCCCCCGCGCCCTCGTAACCGTCACAACCGCCATGCGGCTTCTTACTGCGTGGTCGGGGGGGGGTGAGCGGTTCGTGTGCGGCGCCAATCAGAGGAGAGGGTGGGCGGCAGCGCGGTGCCGGTCGAACCGAGGCCGGGGATCGCACCCAGCAGGACCGGCGTGGCTTATCGTGTCCACCGTTTTTGCTGTGGCTGCCGAGAAGGCGGCGGTCGGCCTTTCCCGACCGACGGCACGACCAGACAAAGCGACCTCGGCGTCGTATCCTGGTGCCGTCGCACGAAGGGGAATGCGTCACACATCGTCGAAGTGAACGGGCCGGGTTGGAAGGGCGGTCGTTTCTGAAGGTCGCCTCCCGCATCTGCTCAACGCCCGCTGCGCGAGAGGGGGCCGGAGGAGCCGGAGTTCGCGCCCCCCGCGGAACGGAATGTCAAAAGCTCAAGTAGTGTGGTGTGCCCTCGGGTCAAGGGGGTCGGAGATCGGCGGGTCTTGGTGGACGAGGGTCATCTGGATATCTTCCGCCGCTTGGCTCCCTTGGGGGTCTTGTCCGAGCGCCCCTTCGGCTGCTCGTCCGCCTGCGGTAAAGGAAGCACAAGCGCACGCACACACGCAGTGTGAGTAGGGACGCACGCACAGCCGCTTCAACAAGCAACCATCTGCCCGGACACACAGACGCCATGCGTCGCTCCCCGCACCCCAGTCTCATCCCAGTTCAAACTTAAAACTCGCTTGCACAACATTTGAAGCCGTTGCAGCCAAGACCAGCTCTGCACGAACCGGCGGTGGACGCCACGATCGGTCACTTCCGGGTTAGACGCGTACCCGTTACCTTTCCTTGAACCAGGGCCGCCACTCAAACCACACTACGGCGCTCATTGGCAACGCTCCGTCGAGAGAAAGACGCAAATTGGACTGCCCAGCCTGAGACCAGGCCAAACCACACGCTCACCAGGGAGACAGCCTTCGAAAACCTGCCCTAGAAACCAGATCCAGAGCGGGTCACAGAGGAGCAGGGCCTGGGGAACCAGCCCTGGACAGGGCCCAGAGGCACCAGGGTCCGAGTTGGGTCACAGATGGGCACCTCCGGTTAGCACGGTTGGCTACATACAGTGCGAAAGAAGTTCACCACATGTACGTACGCACAGCGAGGGTGGGGGTGGGGCGATGGTACGTACAGCCTCTGTCATCTTGTCCAGTTCCGTCATGGCTTCCTGGATGGCAGCCTCAAGGCTGCTGTTCAGCTTCCGGCTCCTGCGAGGTAACGAGCGCACGGTGACGATGGTGGTGATGACGATGGTGGTGGTGGTGATGGTGGTGGTGATGGTGGTGACAATGGTGGTGACAATGGTGGTGACGATGGTGGTGGTGACGGTGATGACGATGGTGGTGGTGACGGTGATGACGATGGTGGTGGTGGTGACGATGATGACGATGGTGGTGGTGGTGACGATGGTGGTGGTGGTGACGATGGTGGTGAAGATGGTGGTGACGATGGTGGTGGTGACGATAAGTCGAAGAATATCGATAACAGCACAGGGGTTGCCACGCTTAAATCATCCAACCCCAAGATCAGTTTTAACACATAGGCTTTGGCGACCAATGTTATTCATAGTAAAGGGTTTTTTTGGGGTGAGATCGCGTACATTTATAGGTGTCGTTAACCCACCATTACCCAGCCAATTAGTAAGGTAATTTATATTTTTGCGATCAAACCCAAAAAATGTTTTATTCTTGCCACGTTTTGTTTACATGGCAAGCCTTACTAATTGGATGTGTCGGTCTGTGGTGGGTTATATTTACGCGATTCAACCAAAAACAACATTTTTATATAACCCAAAGGTATTAGCCATCAACAAACTTGCCTACCCCACCTCACTCACCCACCCACCTCACTTATTCAGTCACCAAACCACCCACAAATTCAACCACTCACCCATCCACACGCACTCGTCCGCTCGCCCATCCATTCATTCACCTGCTCACTTACCGACTCACGTACTCACCTCACCCCCCCACTTCCACCAGTGCATCGATCCACTGACCCACACAAACATCTGCCCACTCGCATATCCATCCACTTACCCACCCACCCACCCACACTATTTTAACAAAACATTTTTGTAATTAAACTTTTATTTTACCAGGTAAGGCCCACTGCGCTACAAAGTTTTTTTCTGGCCACAAATGACAGCTCAACAGAGTGGCTTCTCAAGTGGAGATTTATAGCAGCTAAATACTCTGAACGCGTGACGTTGATTCTTAAAATGTGGGGGGGGGGGAAACGGAGGACCTGGAGAAAAATCCACACGGCCACGTGGAGAGACATCATACAAATCCCACTTACTCACTCACTCTCACTGCAGAACAGGGGAGATCATACAAACTCCACTCACTCACTCTCACTGCAGAGCAGGGGGAGATCATACAAACTCCACCCATTCACACTGCAGAACAGGGTGAGATCATACAAACTCCACTCACTCACGCTGCAGAACAGGGGAGATCATACAAACTCCACCCACTCGCACTGCAGAACAGGGGGAGATCATACAAACTTCACTCACTCACTCAGTAGAACTGATAAACCAATATTTGATCATACAAACACCACTCACAAAAAAGCACCAGAGTCACAAATCGAACCCCCCCCCCCGCCACCCTCTCCTGCTGCGAGTTAGGTGTGCGAGGCAGCGGCGAGCATACTTGCGGTAGCGCTTGCGTGCGCGGTGGTGCGCCTCCAGCCCCTCGGACAGAGTCTTCAACTTCTCGGGCTCCACCTGTGTGAAGCTGTGGTCTCCGAACCACATGACCCACACCTGCGGCACGCGCGCACGGCAACACAGGAAAGGCAAAGGTCCCCCGTGGAGCCTCGGCAGACTGTCGGGGTAAGTGCTCGTTAGCGAACAGCAGCGGCTATTAAGGCCGGCACGGTGGCGCACGATGGGGCGATTGGTGGGCCAGCACCACGCCCGGCCGCCTTTGTCTCCCCAATGACGATGTTTACACAAAGCACTAAGTACTCATTTGAGGCTGAGTCGACCTAGGGGAGGCCCAGGGCCGGTTCAGATAATCGTCACTGATGTTGGCCGTGAGCGGGAATCGAACTCAGGTGGACGGATTCATAGCACAGCGCGCTAACTGCTGCACTACCGCTCCCCACACACACACACACACAGACACGCGCGTACACACATGTACCACACACGTACCACACACGTGCGTACGCGTGTCCGCGCGCGCTCCATATGTCCATGTCAGTGTCCACGTGTGTGTCAGCACGCCTGTGTACTGGGTGGTGCTCTCCACCCACCCAGTTGCGTGCCGTGCCGGCCTTCAACTGGCCTGGCACAGGCGCCGTGGTGACGTGTACGGTGCCGGTAACGCGTGTGCTCATCGTCGTCATCGTCGTCATCGTCGTCATCGTCGTCATCGCAGTGCACCCGCGTGTCCGCGCTGGCGCCGCACCTTGCCGTCCTCGGAGCGCGTGGGGTGGGCGCTGCGCACCTCGTCGTGCCGCACCAGCTTGCCGGGCCACGACGGGAAGCCCTTGATCTGGCCCCACACCAAGTCGCCCAGGTTGAACGTGCGGGGCCCGTAGCGAGCGTCGTGCACCTCGCCGGCCTCGCCGTCCGCGTCGCCGCCCCCGGCGCCGTCGGCGGGCGCCGGGGATCCCGGCGCCCGGCCGCCGTCCTCGTCCTCGTCCTCGCTGAGGCTGCGCGTGTCCGAGGGGCTCGGCGAGCACCCGTTCACCGGCTCCGGGCGCTCGCCGTTGCACGGGAACGCCGGCGCCTCATCCGGCGGCGCCGCCGCGTCCGGCGCCTCCTCCGCGTCGTCGGCCTCGCACGCCGCGGACGCCTCGGGCGGTTCGGGCGGCGTCGGAAGCGGCGGGGTCGGCGCCGTCGCATCCGCCGTCCCCCCGGACGGCGGCGGGCTGGCGGGAGGCGGAGGGGAGGGGCGGCCGGTCTCCGCCGTCGACGCGCTCCGCTCCTCCACGCCTCGCGGGTCGCGCCAGCTTGCCGGGTTTTCGTCGGCAGATGGCGCCGCCGCCACCGCTCGTGGCGACGGAGCGACGGTTTCCTCTCCGCCGGCGGCGGCCTCGCAGGGCGGCGGCGTCGGCAGGGCGAGCGCCGGCGGCGATTGCGGCAGCGACGGAGTCCCGGCCGGGGAAGGAGCGGCCGCGGCCTCGCGCAACGGCTCCGCGGCGCCGTCGCGACTCCGCCAACGCTCGTCAGGTTCTCTCGGCGAGGCGCCGGCTCCTTCGCAGGTACCGCCGCCTCTCTGGTCCGTCTCGTCAGCGCCACGCCGGGGTAAAGTCACGTCGGAGTCGGCGTCCGCCGGTTGCGACGTCTCCCGCGGCGCTTCTTCCCCGGCGCCGGTGCCGACGCCCGCTCCGGCAGGCGTCGGCGCCGGCCGCTCCGGCGAGCGGCTCGGTATCCCGCGTTCCTCCGGCGCGTCTCCCGCCCGCGCCAATTCCCGGAACTCGCACGACTCGGCCGCCGTGTCCGTGCCAAACCCTGGGGGGGCGCCGTCGTCAGTCTCCGGTGCAGCCGCCGGCGACGTCACGACAGACTCGGAGGCGCCGGCGCTCGGGACGGGAGGAGACTCGCGGTCCGAGGCAGCGGCAGCAGGGGACGACGCTCGCGCCGGCGTGGAGCCCGGCGCCGGCGACGGCGACCGGTCGGCGCCGGCGGCGTTGCCCAACGGCGACGGCGCGGGGGCGGTGGGCCCGCCGCCCTCGGCCCCGGCGTCCCGGTCCGGTTGGGGCCGCGTCGGGCCGGGCGGCGGAGGGGCCGCCGGCGCGGGGTCCGGACGGTCGCGAGCGGCGGCGCCGTCCGCGGTCGCCCCCTCCGCGGCTCGGCCCACGCCGACCTGGCGGAGGAGGCAGAGATGAGGCCGCGGTTGGGACGCAGGCGGCCCTCGGCGGCACGGCGGAGCGAGGCCCAGAGTCCGGGTCTCTATCCGGGTCTCGGCCGTCCAATGGAGATTAAACCGAGTGGAACGAGCCGATGGTCTCATCATCCCGGTCACCAGCGACGCTTATTTTATATCGATATTAAAGGTGTCAAGGTGCTTAAAGACACGGCGACACGTATTGGTGGACCGGTTTAGATGGCAGGCGGCGTGCGTGCAAGGCCTGGGGAACGAGTGGGTGGCTACTCGGGGATCACAAAGGGATCAGGGCGAGGGGAAGCAGGAGGAGGGGAATGGGCGATGGAGGGGAGGAGGTGAGGATTTACGAGAGGAACGGAAGGAGGTTAAGGAGGAAGGGGGGGGGGGGGGCTGCTCAAGGGTTAGTGGGTCACCACGCGGGGTGAACGGGTGAGATGGTGACGGGGGGGGGGGGTCACTCACCAGGTTGAGGAGGCATGTGGGGAGCAGCATGGAGCCCGGCAGCAGCGGCGCCGTCAGGTCTTGCGAGAGAGCGGCGCTCGCCAGAGCTGGGAGCTCAGCTGGACAGACACGCGCACACGCAGACACACACACAAAGATCCCCCGTGTAGCCTTAACAGACTGTAGGGGCAAGTGCTGTTAGCGAGCACCTATGAAGGCCGGTACGGCACACGAGGAGGTGGGTGGCCAGCACCACGCCCGGCTGCCTTTTTCTCCCCGGCGGCGATGTTTACTACACACCGCACCAGGTACTCATTTCAGGCTGAGTCGACCTAGGGGAGGCCCAGGACCGGTTCAGATAATCGTCACTGGGTGTTGGCCCACGAGCGGGAATCGAACCCGAGTCACCAGGTTCATAGCACAGCGCGCTCACCGCTACACTACCGCTCCCCACACTACACACACAGACACACACAGACACGTGGACACACACGCACGCACACACACGCAGACACACACGCACGCACGCAGACACACACGCACGCACGCAGATACGTGGACACACGTGAACACAGAGGGACACACAAGCTGACACACGTTCACGTACACACACACACACACACGTTGACACGCGGATACACAAGCACAAGGACACACGCAGTGACACGCGTCAGGAACAGACGAAACACGTGTGACAATAGCATGGGGGAGGTCGTTCTGGGGTCACGCGCGCCCAGCTGGCCCTGCCGCGATCCTGGGTTTGTAACCGGATATCACGGCCGCCAAATCGAGATTCAACCGGGTCTCTCGCGTGCGCCGAGTAGGCGATGTCGGCCCCGCCATCAACGACTCAAATGTCGACCCAAAGGCTTCTACAGGAGACCCCGAGACCCACACAGGCAGAGTTGCGATGACATCATGTTCTCAAGCGAGTTTACTCCCTGCTCCCTCCATCGCCCATTTCCTCCTCGTCTTTCCACCTCTCATCTCCCCATGCATTCACTTCACACCTCCTGCTCCCCCACAATCTCCCACCTCCTGCCGTCTTCCACCGATGCGCCCAACTCACCGAGGAGGCTTGATGTGAGCAGGGGGCTCAGCAGATGGGGCACGAGCGACGCCGGAAGCTTCTCTGCGCCGGCGCCACCGCCCAGCGCCACCGCGGCCGCTCTCCCGCTCGGCGTCGGCGGCGGCAGCAGCCCCTCGCCGACCCCAACAGCCGACGGCACGGCTCCCGGCGGCGCCTCCGCCGGCCCCTCGCCGGCGCCCCCCGTCGCCGGCAAAGAACAGACGGCTGCGGCGAGGTGCGGCGCCGCAAACTTGCCGGCGCCTCGCTCGTTCTGCTGCTGCGCCGGCGTGGAAACGACCGACTGCCGCCGTTGGCCGTCGTGCGGCGCCGGCGCGGGCCCCGCAGGCGCCGCGCCGGCGGCGGCGTCCTCCTCCGAAGCCGACGTCTCGGCAAGTTCCAACCGCGGCGAAGGCGCCAGCGCCGGAACGTCATCGGCAGGCCGCGCCGGCGGCGCCTCTGCTTCTTCCCGAGGTAGCGCTTCGCCGGCGCCGCACAGCGGGTTGAGCAGCCCCGCCGCGAGCTGCGGCCCCAGCGTCATGAGCGCCGGCAACGACAGCAGCAGCGAGTTGCCGGCCGCCGCCGCCGCCTCCATGGACGCGGCGGCGGTGAGATTGGCGAGGAAGGTGGTGTCGGCGATGGCGCTCGCCAGGCTCGCCGGGTGCTCGCCGAGCGGCGACGGCGCCCCCGCGTCCGGGAACGGCAGGTTCAGCAGCATAGCGCCGAGCCCCTGCGCCGCCACCAGCGCCGCCAGCTGCTGCTGCTGCTGCTGGTGCTGCTGCGCCGTGAGCGCCAGCTGCAAGAGCAGCTGCTGCACCGCTTGCGACTCCGCGTCGGCGCCGGCGGGCAGCGGCGGCAGGGAGAACGCCGCCGGCGCCGACAGCAGCCCGAGGCTCTCGGCGAGGCCGGCGCCGGCGCCGCCGGGCGGCAGCAGCCCCGGGAAGGGCAGCGGGGGCAGCTGCAGGGCGGCGAGCAGCCCGGCCGGCCCGCCGAGCGCCGGCAGAGTCGACTGGCTCAGCAGCGCCAGCTGCTCCTGGGCGAGTAAAGGGAAGGAGCCGGGCAGGGACAGAGCGGGCGCCAGCGCATCCTGGGAGCTGCCGGACGGCGGCTTGGGGGAGGCGGCGCTCGGGTCCTCGGCGATGGCGGCGGCGGCGCCGTCTTCGCCGGACTCTTCTAGCGGTTGCTCCGTCGACGCTTGCGTCGTCCCGTCCGCGCCGGGCTGCTCCTCCGCACCTGGCGAGCGCGCGGCGCAAGCGACGCCGTCGAGGAGGGATGAACGGGTGTTAAGCGCAATCGCTGCGGACGCCGCACAAAGACCGTGGTCGCCGCATCATCGCGCGGCGCTTGCAGGTGCGCTTCTGCGGCCGTCTGGAACGCTCTTCCCTTCCGATGTTAGGAAGTCACTGGGAGCTGCGCACTTTTAAATCGTCTTCGTCGAGATTGACAAACTGCTTTTGTGGTTAGTTTGTTGTTCTCCCCCCCTCCCCGCACCTCCGATTAGTATGGTTGGCTACAGTGCAAATAGAGTTCAACGTACATACGTATGTATGACCGTATTCTCTGGATCACACACAACTTTGCGTTAAAACACAGGGGGGGAGGGGCAAAGCAAGTTTGACAAAGCGGAGAAGCTGATATTAGATATTATCAACAACCATAAGATAGGTTTTTTTTCGGTTCGATCGCGTAAATATAAAATGTCGTTAAACCCGATTGCTGGACTGCACCCGACACAGCCAACTAGTAGGGGTTGTCACGTAAACAGAACATGCCAATTCGTCACTAGTACAGCACTACGGGTGTGTGTTGGAGAGTAAACTTACAATCAGAGTACAACGTTTCGACAGTAATTACAACGAGCTTCTGCCCGATGATGCTAGTTGTAATATGTACGCGATCTAACCCAACAAACCTATATTATTGATATTGGTCGCGAAAGCCTACATGTTAAATTATCCACAACAATTGCCCATTTATGTACCCAGGAAAGCCTAAACGAGTCTCTCGCATTGAGTAATTTTCAGAGTAATTTTTTGTTTTTTCAGCATTAGGATGTCTCGGCCGATAGCGGTTACAATGTATGGAAGGTAAAGTCACGTAGAAGGGAAATAATAAAATAATAAAAATAAAACATAATAAAATAATTTTTTATGCTTTCTTTTTATTATTTTACCGAAAGAACCAAGAAGATGAATCCCTGCAGTCACGAAAGCTTTAAATCGAAATGTATGGAAGGGTTATTTAGCTGTGGGAGGAAAACGGAGAACCAGGAGGTAACCCATGCAGGACAGGGACAACAAGAACACAAACTCCACACACAAAAGGTGCCCAAGGGGCATCGAATCCCCCACTCACTCACTGTGCGGAGCAGGAGAGAACATACAAACAACAACAGCCACCATTCGCCACTAAGTGGCGGTGACGTCATCACGGCGCTTGTGCCAGGCTGTGTGCACTTTGAGGCCACGTGAAGTGTCGAATGCCCACTGGCAGGAGGTCACGGGACAGACCCAAGTGCCATGGGTTAACTTGCTGAGATGACCGAGATGACTGGCTGAGATGACCGAGATGACTGGCTGATGAATCACCTGTGCCGCCTAATGTGCTAACTTGCTGTTTTAGCTGCCCGGCGCTCCGCTCGTTGTTGTGAGCGTCGCTCCTCCGCCCTCCGTTGTTGTTGGAGGGCGACTGCCTCCAACTGACCAGTAGCGGCCTTCACGAGCCTCCTCCACTGAGGCCGATCCTGACACCGCTGGTACTGGTCATCGGCAAGTCCACTCAGCTCCACGTCCTCCTGTACCACATCACTCCATCTCTTCTCTAGCCCGTGCCGCGCCCGTTTAGCCCCCTCGATCCGGCCGAACAAAAGCTGTTTAGGCATGCGGTGGCTGGGCATGCGGGCTACATGACCCAGCCAATGCAGCCTGATGGGACCAGATCTTTCAAGGATTTGTGAGCTCCTCACACAATCCAGCCGGGTTAAACAATTATTATTATGTCATGTAGGGCAGTCTGCACACAATGGGAGATAATCTTTGCCAGGTGCTTTTCATGGTTTCAGACTCTGGATCGCCTTCAGTACTTCCTCAACAGATGGCACTTCAGCCAGCCACTCACAGGGGGTGACTACTTCTGCCAACATTTGAGGCACTTCAGCCTCAGCAGGGTCATCCCCACTTTGCCCCATGAGGTTTTCCAGGCCGAGGGATTTCCCCTCCCCCAGGACTTCACAGAAACGCTCAGCAAATCTGCAAACCTGTTCCTGGGGGTCGGAGATCGGATCACCTTTCCTTCCCCTAAGGATGGTTGATAAGGTGTGGCGCTGCAAGTTACTTATTTGATGTAATTAAATAGCGATTTGTGATTGCGGGCTACTGGGGCAGGACTCCATCTCCTCAGCAACCTTTGCCACCCACCACCCATCCCTGCAATGCCGCATGGCTCTCTCCGAACCTCCGAGTGAAGGCTGCGGTAAACGTCCTCATTCTCCGACATGTTATGCTGTAAGAAGGTGGGAGTGGGCCTGTCGCTTTTTCTCAGCCAGCCGGAACACCTGCTCCGTCAGCCAGGGTCTATGGGGAGGTCTGGACCGCGTCCCCAAAGCAGCCATTGCAGCTTCATGAGCCACAGTCCTAAACCTCGCCCATTTCCCCTCGGCAACAGGAGCAGGGCGGACGATGCCAACTCCAGCCGCAAGCGATGATGAAATTTTCACTTGCAACTTTCATCAGCTAGCCGAGACGAGGCCACTGTGGGTTTGAATGGGGTCCTGGGTGTACACCCACTACTGGAGTGGAAGAATGGCAGGCGCATCTTACAGATGACAAGTCGATGGTCAGTGGCCAGATCAGCTGGTGTCAAGAACATGGGCCCGCATCCGCTGTTCCGTCACTATGTAGTCCAGCAGATGTTCTTGCTTGGACCCGGCATGCATCCATGATGTTGTGTGGATGCCGGAACAGCGTGTTGGCGATTACAAGCCCATGGGCTTCAGAAAAGTCTAGCAGCCTCCTACCGTTGTTATTGAGCTGATCTGACCCATGCCTTCCAATCACTCCAGACCAGGTTCCAGGATCATGACACACTAGGGCATTAAAGTCACCCAACAGAATAATTATGCCAAGGGGCCACCCTTTAACTGGCACCTGTGATAGGCGGTCATAGAAGGCATCCGATTCATCCCTCCACCAATGTTCATCTTCGGTGGGGACGGAAGCAACCACCATCATCACCCACTCCTCGCCTCTGGTCGATGGGGAGGCGAGCCCGCATTAGCCTGGGGCTTACCGCTTCACACACCTCACCGCCAAGTTCCCATACCCCCTTCATTCTTTTGTTTCGAAGAAGAGCCACTCCCTGTTGTTTGGAAGTCTCCTGTCCCAAGCAGAGGACTGTCCACCCCTCATGGTGAATGAAACCAGAGCCGGTCCACCGGACCTCCTAAATATCACAGAGATCCAAGCGGTGCCGGTCCAGCTCCCTACAGGAGTGGCAGCCTCTCCTCTGCAGCGAGTGTTCGAACATTCCACGTGGCCACTTACTTCACACACACTGTGGAAAACAGGGGGAGAGATCATACAAACGCCACTCACTCACTCAGTGCAGACTTGGGGGAGATCATACAATGTCCACTCACTCACAATGAACAGACTAGGGGGAGATCACACAAACTACACTCACACAGTGCAGAACAGGGGCAGAGAGATCCCACAAGCAAGCTCCAACACAGAGAGGGGCCGCCTGCCCCCAAGGCACGAGTGCCACCCTGCCAAGGGCTGCATACGAACGAGAGAAGAGAGAGATCCAACTAACAATACACCAACCGGCGACGGTCGTGTCCCGCCGGGCCTCGGCGCAATCCGGCGCCTCCGCTTGCGCCACGCCCTCGCTGCCGGCGCTCCCGGTCCCCCCGGCGGGCAGGACGGGCGACGGCGCAGCCAAACTCGCCGCGGATTCTCCCGTTCCGTCCGGCGCTGGCGACGGCGTTGGGAGCCGGTCCACGGGGGTCGCCTCCCTCTCGCCGGCGCCCGACTCCGGCAGGGACAGATCCAGCCCCACCTCTTCCTCGGGGTCCTTCCGCTCGTGCCCGCGAGTCCTGGCGTTCTCGCCGCTCGCGCCCACAGAACGCTCCTGCGCTCGGCCGGGCGAGCTCGCCCCCCCCTTCAACCGCGCGGTCGCCACGGCGCCGCCGGCGCCATCAACGACCCCGTTGCCGGCGCCGCATTCGTCCACACTCATCCCGGCGGCGACGGCACCGTCTAAGTCCCAGGCGTGACCCTTCGCGGCAGCGGCGGTGCCGGCGTCGTCCGGGGAGGCGACCTCGGGCGCCGCCGCCGGAGCCAGCTGGTTGCCCGCCGCCCTCGCGCCACCGGCGCCCGCCTGCTGCGAGCTCATGCTCTGCAGCAGCTGCGACATGGGGTGGCTCCCAAGCAGCCCGCCGCGCCACAGCACCTGCGGCGGGCCTTTCGGCGAGCCGGCCCTCCCGTCGGACGGCGCCGGCTGCTGATGCTGTTGGTGCACCAGCTGCTGCGCCGACTGCTGCTGCTGCGGCACCTGCTGGCGGAGCATGCTCAGCACGTCGGCGGCGGTGGGGCCCGACGACGGCGGCGCACGGTGGCGCCGGTGGTGACCCCCGCTCAGCCGGTCGCGCAGGGACGGCGCCGCGCCGACGGGGCTGCCGGCGCCGTCCCCGCCGGGTAGCAGCACGCTGCCGGCACCCTGGAAGACGCCGCGCTTGCTCGGGAGGTCGGTGCCGCCGGGCTGCTTGCCCTGGTTGGCGAGCTGGGCCTTGGCGGCGGCCGACAGGAGGCTGCTGGCCGGGTAGGAGGTCGGGTTCTGTTGACTCAGCACCTGGAGAAGTAGAAGCGAGTGAGAGTGTGAGCGAGCGAGTGGGAGGAGGGGTTCTGTTGACTCAGCACCTGGAGAAGTAGAAGTGAGTGAGTGAGTGGGAGTGAGCGAGCGAGTGGGAGGAGGGGTTCTGTTGACTCAGCACCTGGAGAAGTAGGAGTGAGTGAGTGAGCGAGTGGGAGGAGGGGTTCTATTGACTCAGCACCTGGAGAAGTAGGAGTGAGTGAGTGAGTGGGAGTGAGCGAGCGAGTGGGAGGAGGGGTTCTGTTGACTCAGCACCTGGAGAAGTAGGAGTGAGTGAGTGAGTGGGAGTGAGCGAGCGAGTGGGAGGAGGGGTTCTGTTGACTCAGCACCTGGAGAAGTAGGAGTGAGTGAGAGTGGGAGTGAGTGAGCGAGTGGGAGGAGGGGTTCTGTTGACTCAGCACCTGGAGAAGTAGGAGTGAGTGAGTGAGTGAGCGAGCGAGCGGGAGGAGGGGTTCTGTTGACTCAGCACCTGGAGAAGTAGGAGTGAGTGAGTGAGTGGGAGTGAGTGAGTGGGAGTGAGCGAGCGAGTGGGGGGAGGGGTTCTGTTGACTCAGCACCTGGAGAAGTAGGAGTGAGTGAGCGAGTGGGAGGAGGGGTTCTATTGACTCAGCACCTGGAGAAGTAGGAGTGAGTGAGTGAGTGGGAGTGAGCGAGCGAGTGGGAGGAGGGGTTCTGTTGACTCAGCACCTGGAGAAGTAGGAGTGAGTGAGAGTGGGAGTGAGTGAGCGAGTGGGAGGAGGGGTTCTGTTGACTCAGCACCTGGAGAAGTAGGAGTGAGTGAGAGTGGGAGTGAGCGAGCGAGTGGGAGGAGGGGTTCTGTTGACTCAGCACCTGGAGAAGTAGGAGTGAGTGAGTGAGTGGGAGTGAGCGAGCGAGTGGGAGGAGGGGTTCTGTTGACTCAGCACCTGGAGAAGTAGGAGTGAGTGAGTGAGCGGGAGTGAGCGAGCGAGTGGGGGGAGGGGTTCTGTTGACTCAGCACCTGGAGAAGTAGGAGTGAGTGAGCGAGTGGGAGGAGGGGTTCTATTGACTCAGCACCTGGAGAAGTAGGAGTGAGTGAGTGAGTGGGAGTGAGCGAGCGAGCGGGAGGAGGGGTTCTGTTGACTCAGCACCTGGAGAAGTAGGAGTGAGTGAGTGAGCGAGTGGGAGGAGGGGTTCTATTGACTCAGCACCTGGAGAAGTAGGAGTGAGTGAGTGAGTGGGAGTGAGCGAGCGAGTGGGAGGAGGGGTTCTGTTGACTCAGCACCTGGAGAAGTAGGAGTGAGTGAGTGAGTGGGAGTGAGCGAGCGAGTGGGAGGAGGGGTTCTGTTGACTCAGCACCTGGAGAAGTAGGAGTGAGTGAGAGTGGGAGTGAGTGAGCGAGTGGGAGGAGGGGTTCTGTTGACTCAGCACCTGGAGAAGTAGGAGTGAGTGAGTGAGTGAGCGAGCGAGCGGGAGGAGGGGTTCTGTTGACTCAGCACCTGGAGAAGTAGGAGTGAGTGAGTGAGTGGGAGTGAGTGAGTGGGAGTGAGCGAGCGAGTGGGGGGAGGGGTTCTGTTGACTCAGCACCTGGAGAAGTAGGAGTGAGTGAGCGAGTGGGAGGAGGGGTTCTATTGACTCAGCACCTGGAGAAGTAGGAGTGAGTGAGTGAGTGGGAGTGAGCGAGCGAGTGGGAGGAGGGGTTCTGTTGACTCAGCACCTGGAGAAGTAGGAGTGAGTGAGAGTGGGAGTGAGTGAGCGAGTGGGAGGAGGGGTTCTGTTGACTCAGCACCTGGAGAAGTAGGAGTGAGTGAGAGTGGGAGTGAGCGAGCGAGTGGGAGGAGGGGTTCTGTTGACTCAGCACCTGGAGAAGTAGGAGTGAGTGAGTGAGTGGGAGTGAGCGAGCGAGTGGGAGGAGGGGTTCTGTTGACTCAGCACCTGGAGAAGTAGGAGTGAGTGAGTGAGTGGGAGTGAGCGAGCGAGTGGGGGGAGGGGTTCTGTTGACTCAGCACCTGGAGAAGTAGGAGTGAGTGAGCGAGTGGGAGGAGGGGTTCTATTGACTCAGCACCTGGAGAAGTAGGAGTGAGTGAGTGAGTGGGAGTGAGCGAAGCGAGCGGGAGGAGGGGTTCTGTTGACTCAGCACCTGGAGAAGTAGGAGTGAGTGAGTGAGCGAGTGGGAGGAGGGGTTCTATTGACTCAGCACCTGGAGAAGTAGGAGTGAGTGAGTGAGTGGGAGTGAGCGAGCGAGTGGGAGGAGGGGTTCTGTTGACTCAGCACCTGGAGAAGTAGGAGTGAGTGAGTGAGTGGGAGTGAGCGAGCGAGTGGGAGGAGGGGTTCTGTTGACTCAGCACCTGGAGAAGTAGGAGTGAGTGAGAGTGGGAGTGAGTGAGCGAGTGGGAGGAGGGGTTCTGTTGACTCAGCACCTGGAGAAGTAGGAGTGAGTGAGTGAGTGAGCGAGCGAGCGGGAGGAGGGGTTCTGTTGACTCAGCACCTGGAGAAGTAGGAGTGAGTGAGTGAGTGGGAGTGAGTGAGTGGGAGTGAGCGAGCGAGTGGGGGGAGGGGTTCTGTTGACTCAGCACCTGGAGAAGTAGGAGTGAGTGAGCGAGTGGGAGGAGGGGTTCTATTGACTCAGCACCTGGAGAAGTAGGAGTGAGTGAGTGAGTGGGAGTGAGCGAGCGAGTGGGAGGAGGGGTTCTGTTGACTCAGCACCTGGAGAAGTAGGAGTGAGTGAGAGTGGGAGTGAGTGAGCGAGTGGGAGGAGGGGTTCTGTTGACTCAGCACCTGGAGAAGTAGGAGTGAGTGAGAGTGGGAGTGAGCGAGCGAGTGGGAGGAGGGGTTCTGTTGACTCAGCACCTGGAGAAGTAGGAGTGAGTGAGTGAGTGGGAGTGAGCGAGCGAGTGGGAGGAGGGGTTCTGTTGACTCAGCACCTGGAGAAGTAGGAGTGAGTGAGTGAGTGGGAGTGAGCGAGCGAGTGGGGGGAGGGGTTCTGTTGACTCAGCACCTGGAGAAGTAGGAGTGAGTGAGCGAGTGGGAGGAGGGGTTCTATTGACTCAGCACCTGGAGAAGTAGGAGTGAGTGAGTGAGTGGGAGTGAGCGAGCGAGTGGGAGGAGGGGTTCTGTTGACTCAGCACCTGGAGAAGTAGGAGTGAGTGAGTGAGTGGGAGTGAGCGAGCGAGTGGGGGGAGGGGTTCTGTTGACTCAGCACCTGGAGAAGTAGAAGTGAGTGAGAGTGGGAGTGAGTGAGCGAGCGGGAGGAGGGGTTCTGTTGACTCAGCACCTGGAGAAGTAGGAGTGAGTGAGTGAGTGAGCGAGCGAGCGGGAGGAGGGGTTCTGTTGACTCAGCACCTGGAGAAGTAGGAGTGAGTGAGTGAGCGAGTGGGAGGAGGGGTTCTATTGACTCAGCACCTGGAGAAGTAGGAGTGAGTGAGTGGGAGTGAGCGAGCGAGTGGGAGGAGGGGTTCTGTTGACTCAGCACCTGGAGAAGTAGGAGTGAGTGAGAGTGAGAGCGCGCGAGCGAGTGAGAGGAGGAGGGGGATTTTAGCAAGTTATGTTTGGGTGGCAGGGTAGCGGCAGTGATAACACTTGATAATTGTTTTTTTACCCCATTGGAACCTCATTTGCCGGTAAAAAAGAAAATCTTTTTTTTACCCTTCTATCTGGCAACAAAACTGACACCTTTTTTTTTTTACAAGGAGTCATGTTTTCATAGACCACAATACTTGCAGCCATAATGCAAACAAAAAACATAACTCTGATAATGTATGCACTGTCCTTGAAGTTGATTGGTCCACACCCGAGACAGCTTTCCTTAGGAGCCTAGTCTCGCATGAAAAAAAGGCGTCAGTTTTGTTGCCAGATAAAAGGGTAAAAAAACAATTATCATATTTTTTACTAGCAAATGAGGTTCCAATGGTGATAACACTTGTTAGCTTCGCAGCAAGAAAACCCCGAGTTCAATCCCCGACGACTCGTACACCCCCTTTCAGTGCGGAGTTTGTATGTCTCGCACCACGTGATCAAAGACGATGTAAAATAGTGTCGGGGACCAGAGGGCAGCCTCTGTAGGACAGGGGATGGCTCCGACTCCCGGGCACGTAGCTTCACCTGGGCATGCCCCGCCATCGTGAAGACCCCAAATGATTTTGAGCAGTGTCAGGGACCCCGAAAGCAATGAATTACCCACACAATCTCTTACACACACACATTCAAAGACAAAGATTATCCTTATCGCTTTAAGAGACCGTTGGGACAAGTACTAGCTATTAAGGCTGGCACAGCGCACGATGGGGTGGGTGGCCAGCACCACGCCCGGCCGCCTTTGTCTCCCCAGTGGCGATGTTTACACACCGCACCAGGTGCTCATTTGAGGCCGAGTCAACCGAGGGGAGGCCCAGCACCGGTTCAAATATTCGCCGGGTATGTAACCACTTGACCACCGCACGCACGCACACACGCACGCACACTTTCACACGACTACACACACGTGCCGGTGCTACGCCGCCAGACAGCCCACCGCACCTGGCACAGCGGTGTGCCCAGGAGGCCCGGCTGTTGTTTTCCCTGCTGCTGCTGGTGCTGCTGGTGCTGCTGGTGGTGGTTGCTGGCGTACGAGTGCGACGCCGCCGCCGCCGCCGCCGCCGCGCCAGGCAGACCGATGAGAATGGACGGCGCCAGCTCCTTGTAGCCAGCGTCCCCGCTCAGCCGGGGCGACCGGGCCGCCGGACCCCGCGCCCCGCCGGCACCGCCGGCGCCCTCGACGCACCCCGAGCCGGAGCGCGGCCTCTGAGGCGAGGCGTCGGCACGGCAACCCGCGGGCCCCGCGCCGTGGTAACCGTCCGGAGAGCCCACGTGGTGCTGCTGCTGGTGGTGGTGAAGGTGCTGAGACGTGGATGTCGGCATCGTCATCGACGACGCCGCCGCCACCGCCGCCGCCGCCGCCGCCCGTGCCAAGAGATGGTTGCCGTGACCGCCCCCCCGATCCGGCGCCACCGCCTCCTCCTCCCGCGCCGCCGCCGTGCTTCATGGCGGTCGGCAGCGGCAGGTTGCTAGGCAACGGCACGACCACCGGCGTGGCGTTGAGCGGCGAGGGCAGCGCAAACGCCGTGGGGTTCACGAACTGTCCGCTGGCGCCGCCGCTCGTAGCGGCGCCGCCGCCGAGATTGGCGGGCCGCGCCGGGATGGGATCCAAGATGCCGAGCGGGTCTTTCTCGGTGCCGCCAACAGGACTGCGGCGCAGCGCGCACGCCGGCTTGCCACCGTAGTAGCCGTGAGCCGCCGCCGCGGCCGCCGCCGCCGCGGCCGCCGCCGCCGCGGCCGCCGCGTGCTCCACCAGCGGGAGACCGAACGGCGCCGCCTTCTTGGCGAACGGGCTCTTGGGCGTGAGCGTCGGCGAGTGCGGCACGGCGCCGGCGCGGCTCGTGGCGGCCGCCGCCGCCGGCGGGCAGCCCGCGGGGAGCAGCCCTCCCGCCGCCGCCGCCGCCGCCGCCGCCGCCGCCGCCGCCGCCGCCGAAGGGCAGAAGCCCGGGCTGCACCGGCTGCCGTAGGCGTCGGGGCTGCCGACCGACTCGGCGCAGGGCGAGGTGGCGCCTTCGCCGAAGAAGCACGAGCTGCTGGAGGAGGCGGCGCTGCTGAGGCTGCCTTGGCTGCCGTAGTACGGAGACCGCTGGCCACGCTCGCCGCTCCCCGCTCGCTGGCGCCCCCCGGAGGAACCGGGGCCGGCGCCGCCGGCGCAGGCGTCCCGGGGCTCCGGCGTGCCGCCGAGAGACCACTCGGAGCTGCCGAGCCGAGGCCGGGCGCCGGCGGGCACGGGCGGCTCGGGCGCCGCCTCGCACGGCCGCGCGGCGTTGGCGCCGTGGCCGGCGCGCAGCCGCGACAGGAAGGAGTTGGCGCGCGCCGAGAGGCATGAGGGGAAGAGCAGCTCGGCGCCCGGCTTGGGCCGGCCGGAGCGGCCGCCAGGCCCGGTGCTGCCGCCGCCGCGTGGCGCGGGACGCACGCCGCCCTCGCCTGCAACGGGAGGGGAGGTCAGCGGTGGCGCCGTGGCGGTGGTGGTGGCGAGCGGGCCCACGTGCCAGTGGCTCGGCGCGTGGCAAGTCACTCTCCGCCCGACCGACCGACCCATCCACCGCATCTACCCAACCGACCACAACGATCGCGCGGCCATTCACACCGGCCCTCGCACTCACCAGCAGAGGAGAGCACCATGGCGGTGGCGGTCGTGGTGCGGTGATGGTGGTGGCGGTGGTGGTGCCCTCCCGTCTCCATGCTCTTGTGGAGCGTTGCCATGGCGATTATCTTCCGCTTGTGGTTGCACAGCTTGGTCATGTCGGCGTCCGCCTTCACGTCCTCCGCCGAACGCGGCCGCACCGCAGCTCCGCGCTCAAAGTTGAACACCTGACCCAGGTGCGCGGGGGGGGGGGGGGAGATTGTGTATGGGTCTGTGTGTGTGTGCGCGCGAGAACATCGCCACTGGGGAGACAAAGGCGGCCGGGCATAGTGCTGGCAACCCACCCCCCCCATTCTGGCCTTCGTAGGTGCTCGCTAACAGCACTTGCCCCACAAAGTATGCCGAGGCTATACGGGGGATCTTTGCCGCTGTGTACAGGTAGCGCCCTCCAACAACAATGAAAGGCGGAGGAGCGACGCTCATAAAACAAACGAGCGGAGCGCGCCTGGGGCAGCCACGTCACACCGAGTCGGTGCAATAGGGAGCGCAGGTGGTGCATCTGCCGGTCATCTCAGGCGGTCAACCCATGGCGCCTGCTGGGTCTGTTCCGTGACCTCCTGCCATCATCAGCGAGCCTTTGACATTCCACGTGGCCGCCTGACAGCTGCACCTAGCCTGGCACAAGCGTGGTGCTGACGCCCGTTGTTGGTGCACGCGTCTGTTGGGCGTATGGGTCCATTCGTACGCGGGTCAGCCTGTGTCGCTGTGTCCATCTCTGTGGGTCAGTATGCGTCTCTGTGGGTCAGTATGTGTCTGGGCAGTATGTCTATGTGGGTCAGTATGTGTCTATGTGTGTCAAGTATGCGTCTATGTGTGTCAGTGTGCGTCTCTGTGTGTCAGTATGCGTCTGTGTGGGTCAGCACGCGTCTCTGTGGGTCAGCATGTGTCTCTGTGGGTCAGTATGCGTCTCTGTGGGTCAGTATGCGTCTCTGTGGGTCAGCACGCGTCTCTGTGGGTCAGCACGCGTCTTTGTGGGTCAGCACGCGTCTCTGTGGGTCAGCACGCGTCTCTGTGGGTCAGCACGCGTCTCTGTGGGTCAGTATGCGTCTCTGTGGGTCAGTATGCGTCTATGTGTGTCAGTATGCGTCTGGTCAGTATGTGTCTCTGTGGGTCAGTATGTGTCTGGTCAGTATGAGTCTCTGTGGGTCAGTATGTGTCTCTGTGGGTCAGTATGTGTCTATGTGGGTCAGTATGCGTCTCTGTGGGTCAGTATGTGGTGTCTGGGCAGTAGTCGTGCAGCGGTTCGCGTGCTACGCTCCAAAGTAAGCTCGCAATAATCGTCAGACCGTGAAGATTAATATCCGGCCGGTCTCCGATGTGTGCCTCGGGTTGCCAAAACTGCCTTCCGGCCAATATCTGGCACCGAGGTGCCTTAATAAATAAGTTGCATTATTAAAACGGCTACTTTCTCTATTAAGCTGGGATAGCAAACACCCGAAGGATAATAAAACAGAAACAGAAACATCCGGGCTTCGGAAACTCCGTTCTGGAGAAGCTCCCAGCACGCGTAGCGAAACGTCGGACAACCACACACCGCAAGAGGCCGCACACGGCAGCACGACCGCGGACACCCCACGCGGCCACGATGTCGTAACGCGTCGCGACAAACAAAGATCATCGCGGCGACCCCGAGCTCCAGCCGAGAGTGATGGGGGTCCCAGACGGGGTCTAGACGGTGGGTGATGGGGGTCCCAGACGGGGTCTAGACAGTGGGTGATGGGGGTCCCAGACGGGGTCTAGACCGTGGGTGATGGGGGTCCAGACAGGGTCTAGACAGTGGGTGATGGGGGTCCCAGACGGGGTCTAGACAGTGGGTGATGGGGGGTCCCAGACGGGGTCTAGACCGTGGGTGATGGGGGTCCAGACAGGATCTAGACCGTGGGTGATGGGGGTCCAGACAGGGTCTAGACAGTGGGTGATGGGGGTCCCAGACGGGGTCTAGACGGTGGGTGATGGGGGTCCCAGACGGGGTCTAGACAGTGGGTGATGGGGGTCCCAGACGGGGTCTAGACAGTGGGTGATGGGGGTCCCAGACGGGGTCTAGACAGTGGGTGATGGAGGTCCCAGACGGGGTCTAGACAGTGGGTGATGGGGGTCCAGACGGGGTCTAGACAGTGGGTGATGGGGGTCCCAGACGGGGTCTAGACAGTGGGTGATGGGGGTCCCGATGGGGTCTAGACAGTGGGTGATGGGGGTCCCAGACGGGGTCTAGACAGTGGGTGATGGGGGTCCCAGACGGGGTCTAGACAGTGGGTGATGGGGGTCCCGATGGGGTCTAGACAGTGGGTGATGGGGGTCCCAGACGGGGTCTAGACAGTGGGTGATGGGGGTCCCAGACAGGGTCTAGACAGTGGGTGATGGGGGTCCCGATGGGGTCTAGACAGTGGGTGATGGGGGTCCAGACGGGGTCTAGACAGTGGGTGATGGGGGTCCCAGATGGGGTCTAGACAGTGGGTGATGGGGGTCCCGATGGGGTCTAGACAGTGGGTGATGGGGGTCCCAGACGGGGTCTAGACAGTGGGTGATGGGGGTCCCAGACAGGGTCTAGACAGTGGGTGATGGGGGTCCCGATGGGGTCTAGACAGTGGGTGATGGAAGTCCCAGACGGGGTCTAGACAGTGGGTGATGGGGGTCCCAGACGGGGTCTAGACAGTGGGTGATGGGGGTCCCGATGGGGTCTAGACAGTGGGTGATGGGGGTCCCAGACAGGGTCTAGACAGTGGGTGATGGGGGTCCCAGACAGGGTCTAGACAGTGGGTGATGGGGGTCCCGATGGGGTCTAGACAGTGGGTGATGGGGGTCCAGACGGGGTCTAGACAGTGGGTGATGGGGGTCCCAGACGGGGTCTAGACAGTGGGTGATGGGGGTCCCGATGGGGTCTAGACAGTGGGTGATGGGGGTCCCAGACGGGGTCTAGACAGTGGGTGATGGGGGTCCCAGACAGGGTCTAGACAGTGGGTGATGGGGGTCCCGATGGGGTCTAGACAGTGGGTGATGGAAGTCCCAGACGGGGTCTAGACAGTGGGTGATGGGGGTCCCAGACGGGGTCTAAACAGTGGGTGATGGGGGTCCCGATGGGGTCTAGACAGTGGGTGATGGGGGTCCCAGACGGGGTCTAGACAGTGGGTGATGGGGGTCCCAGACAGGGTCTAGACAGTGGGTGATGGGGGTCCCGATGGGGTCTAGACAGTGGGTGATGGAAGTCCCAGACGGGGTCTAGACAGTGGGTGATGGGGGTCCCAGACGGGGTCTAGACAGTGGGTGATGGGGGTCCCAGACGGGGTCTAGACAGTGGGTGATGGGGGTCCCAGTCGGGGTCTAGACAGTGGGTGATGGGGGTCCCAGACGGGGTCTAGACAGTGCGTGATGGGGGTCCCAGACAGGGTCTAGACAGTGGGTGATGGGGGTCCCAGACAGGGTCTAGACAGTGGGTGATGGGGGTCCCAGACAGGGTCTAGACCAGGGGTCGGCAACCTACGGCTCCGGAGCCGCATGCGGCTCTTTACGGGCTGCTTCTTAACGATGAGTACGTATGAGTACGTATGTACTCAGATGCATTGCGGCTCTTGAAATACTGAATTTTGTACCGAATTGGAAAGAAATGGCTCTTCTTGTTATTTTGGTTGCCGACCCCTGGTCTAGACAGTGGGTGATGGGGGTCCCATACAGGGTCTAGACAGTGGGTGATGGGGGTCCCAGACGGGGTCTAGACAGTGGGTGATGGGGGTCCCAGACGGGGTCTAGACAGTGGGTGATGGGGGTCCTAGACGGGGTCTAGACAGTGCGTGATGGGGGTCCCAGACGGGGTCTAGACAGTGGGTGATGGGGGTCCCAGTCGGGGTCTAGACAGTGGGTGATGTGGGTCCCAGACGGGGTCTAGACAGTGGGTAATGGGGGTCCCAGACGGGGTCCAGACAGTGAGTGATGGGGGTCCCAGACGGGGTCCAGACAGGGTCTAGACCGTGGGTGATGGGGGTCCCAGTCGGGGTCTAGACCGTGGGTGATGGGGGTCCCAGACGGGGTCTAGACAGTGGGTGATGGGGGTCCAGACGGGGTCTAGACAGTGGGTAATGGGGGTCCCAGACGGGGTCTAGACAGTGAGTGATGGGGGTCCAGACAGGGTCTAGACGGTGAGTGATGGGGGTCCCAGACGGGGTCTAGACCGTGGGTGATGGGGGTCCAGACAGGGTCTAAACAGTGGGTGATGGGGGTCCCAGACGGGGTCTAGACAGTGGGTGATGGGGGTCCCAGTCGGGGTCTAGACAGTGGGTGATGGGGGTCCCAGACAGGGTCTAGACAGTGGGTGATGGGGGTCCCAGACGGGGTCTAGACCGTGGGTGATGGGGGTCCTAGACGGGGTCTAGACAGTGGGTGATGGGGGTCCTAGACGGGGTCTAGACCGTGGGTGATGGGGGTCCTAGACGGGGTCTAGACCGTGGGTGATGGGGGTCCTAGACGGGGTCTAGACAGTGGGTGATGGGGGTCCCAGACAGGGTCTAGACAGTGGGTGATGGGGGTCCCAGACGGGGTCTAGACCGTGGGTGATGGGGGTCCTAGACGGGGTCTAGACAGTGGGTGATGGGGGTCCCACACGGGGTCTAGACAGTGGGTGATGGGGTCCCAGACGGGGTCTAGACAGTGGGTGATGTGGGTCCCAGACGGGGTCTAGACAGTCAGTGATGGGGGTCCCAGACGGGGTCTAGACAGTGGGTGATGGGGGTCCCAGACGGGGTCTAGACGGTGGGTTATGGGGGTCCCAGTCGGGGTCTAGACAGTGGGTGATGGGGGTCTAGACAGTGGGTGATGGGGGTCCAGACGGGGTCCAGACAGTGAGTGATGGGGGTCCCAGACGGGGTCCAGACAGGGTCTAGACCGTGGGTGATGGGGGTCCCAGTCGGGGTCTAGACCGTGGGTGATGGGGGGTCCCAGACGGGGTCTAGACAGTGGGTGATGGGGGTCCAGACGGGGTCTAGACAGTGGGTAATGGGGGTCCCAGACGGGGTCTAGACAGTGAGTGATGGGGGTCCAGACAGGGTCTAGACGGTGAGTGATGGGGGTCCCAGACGGGGTCTAGACCGTGGGTGATGGGGGTCCAGACAGGGTCTAAACAGTGGGTGATGGGGGTCCCAGACGGGGTCTAGACAGTGGGTGATGGGGGTCCCAGTCGGGGTCTAGACAGTGGGTGATGGGGGTCCCAGACGGGGTCTAGACAGTGGGTGATGGGGGTCCCAGACGGGGTCTAGACCGTGGGTGATGGGGGTCCTAGACGGGGTCTAGACAGTGGGTGATGGGGGTCCTAGACGGGGTCTAGACCGTGGGTGATGGGGGTCCTAGACGGGGTCTAAACCGTGGGTGATGGGGGTCCTAGACGGGGTCTAGACAGTGGGTGATGGGGGTCCCAGACAGGGTCTAGACAGTGGGTGATGGGGGTCCCAGACGGGGTCTAGACCGTGGGTGATGGGGGTCCTAGACGGGGTCTAGACAGTGGGTGATGGGGGTCCCACACGGGGTCTAGACAGTGGGTGATGGGGTCCCAGACGGGGTCTAGACAGTGGGTGATGGGGGTCCCAGACGGGGTCTAGACAGTCAGTGATGGGGGTCCCAGACGGGGTCTAGACAGTGGGTGATGGGGGTCCCAGACGGGGTCTAGACGGTGGGTTATGGGGGTCCCAGTCGGGGTCTAGACAGTGGGTGATGGGGGTCTAGACAGTGGGTGATGGGGGTCCAGACGGGGTCTAGACAGTAGGTGATGGGGGTCCAGACGGGGTCCAGACGGGGTCCAGACAGGGTCTAGACGGTGGGTGATGGTGGTCCAGACGGGGGTCCCGGACCGCCTGTGCTCACCTTGTGTAGTACAAGGGGACACTCCAGGCCACACTTGCAGGTGCCGTCGGCGAGCAGGTAACTCTTCACCTCCTCCATGGAGCACAGCACGCTGCCTCCGGGACTGGATGCGGACAGAACAAAGATTCCCCCACCGCCACGTGTTGGCAGCCCCATTGCCGGCGATCGCTACACCTACGCTTGGTTGCGCAGGAAGGGCGCAAACGAGTCTCAATCATCTTTGCAGGAGGGTTCTGCCAAGTTTTTTTTTTGCAGGGAGGGAGCAAGGAAGGAGTGGGGGGGGGGGGGATGTTGCTGCCAAGCATGCAACATCAAATTGGGTACATTTTTGCCGGTAATCATTTTTGGCATTACGATGTTTTTGGAAAATACCGATTACATTGTGTGTGTGTGCGTGTGTGTGTGGGGAGCGATAGTGCAGCGGTTAGCGCGCTGCGCTATGAACCCGGCGACCCGGATTTGATACCCGCTCATGGTCAACTCCGGTGACGATAATCCGATCCGATCTCGGGCCTCCCCTCAAATGAGTACCTGGCGAGGTGCGTAAACGTCGCCACTGGGGAGACAAACGCGGCCGAGCGAGGTGCCGGCCACCCGCCCCCTCGTGTGCCGCCCTTCATGAGGTGCCGCTCGCTAACAGCGCTGCCCCCCCCCCCCCCCCCCACAGTCCGTGAAAGACGACACGGGGGATCCTCGCACCTGGTGTAGGTGACGGCGTGCGACTCCACCTTGCGCTGCCACCCGACGGGCACCATGACCGCCGCCACCACCAGCACCTCGTGAGCGCCGGATGTCTCGCCCTCTTTAGCGCCATTCATGTCGCCGTGACGACTGCGCCGCCGCCGCCGCCGCCCCGCCCCCCCGCCAACCCGCTCGTTCCCGCTCTCCGGCTCGGCTCCCTTCCAGCTCGCCCTCTCCCGCCCGCCCACACAACCCGTCCGCTCGCCGCCCGTCCGCCCGCGGTCCGCGCTGCGTCTCACGTCATGCTGGCGCGCTCGCCCCGCGAGCTGGCGCCGCCACGCGACGGCCGGAGACGCGGCGCCCCGCTGGGACGTGTCGCTGCCGTCGCCGACCCGCTGCTGCGGCCCGCCGCCGTCGCCGTCGTCGCCAACGACGACGACCGGTCGGAGACGATTCTCGTACTTCCAAGTCTCGTTCCCCTGCCCCCCCCCCCCACACCCCTCCACAACCACCGCACCGGCCGAATCGATGCCGGCTTCTCAGCGGCGGTGCGGGGTCAACGGCGTCATCGCGACGGTGGATCGCCGGGCGACGCCACACCCTGCCGGCGATTAAACAACAACGCCGACGCCGCGCCTCTCGTCGTAGCCCGTTCGTCAACGCCAAAGCCACCGCTGGTCGGGGAATGCGGCAGCAGCAGCCATGGTGACGAAGAAGCCAGGCCCCGAGCCGGCCGTGCCCTCGGCGGCTCGCCCCTCTCGTCTCCCCGATCGCTTGCGGTGTAGGCGCCGGCGCGTCAGATCTTCCGTTTCGGTTCCTTTGGTCCGCCTCCTCGTCAGGGCCGCGCGGCGCGGCACGGATGAAGAGGGCCCCTCGTCGGGCCGGACGGCATGACGGCACGGGGAGCGAGAGACCTGGGAATGAAATATAAATAAACAAACAAACGCGCACGTGTCAACGCGAAAAGATCCTCCGCGCGGCCACGCGCTGCGGAGCGGAGGCCGTTGCTGATAGCGGGCGACCGTTGAAAGGCCGTCCCAGTGCACACTCAAAGCGTCGAGGCAACCCCGAGTAGGCCCCCTGCACAGGTTCCAATATCATCAACCCACCAATGCCAAGCGTGGCGGGGAATAGAAACATCAGGCCATCATCGGGAATCAAACGAAGAATCGCAGCAATTAATTGAACCACGGGGCGGTGGGGGGGGTGGTGTGTCATCTTGCCTGTCTTGTTCATTCAATTCTCGTGAAGGTACATTCGCAAGCAACTTCCGCAATAGACTTGCGTGCATCGAAACCGAATCTCGCGTGCACCATTCCACGCGTGCATCGTCAGCATAACGAATCGGTGAAATCAAAGGGATCATCATTACACGCCTAACGAGTAAAGCCCCGCCCCCCCTTTCATTATTACGCTTGGGGGATGCTGCGGTGTCTAAACCCAATTGAGTAACTTTGCAGATCATTTTTCAGCAACGGAATGTGGTTTGGCCAATACCAGAGACTGACTATTGTCACGGGTTTTTTTATAGCTATGAAAGGAAACCGGAGAATCCAGAGGAAACCCCATGCAGAGCAGGGAGAGAACATACAAACTCCGCACACAAAGCGCACCAGAGTAGGGCATCGAACCCAGGCTCTTCTTGCTGGCAGGTGCACGCGTTAGCACGGTGCCACCCAACTCGAAAAACGACGACACGCCGCTGGAGGCGGCGGCGGCGAGACGAAGGGGTAAGAGCGGCGCGCGTGGTCCAGAGGTCGCAACCGGGTACCCGATACCCGTACCCTACCCGATACCCGGCTACCCGTACCCGGCCGGGTACGGGTACCCGTTTGCGACCCTGGTGCGGGTACGTGTAGGCCACGAGTCACTGCTGAGTAACCGTTTGTCACTCATTTCGGGTAGGGTACGGGTAGGGTACGGGTAGGATACGGCTACCTGTACCCGGCCGGGTACGGGTACCCGGTTGCGACCCTGGCGCAGCTGGGTACAGGTAGGCCGTGAGTCACTGCTGAGTAACCGTTTGTCACTCATTTCGGGTAGGGTACGGGTAGGGTACGGATAGGATACGGCTACCTGTACCCGGCCGGGTACGGGTACCCGGTTGCGACCTCTGCGTGGGGGTGGCGACGCTGCCTCTGCAATTGCTGCACTACAACTCTGGAACTTGTTGCCTCATCTGAGGGGTCACGACTTGCGAGGCGCTACTTACAAATGTGAACATCGCGCCTAAAAAAAAAAGGCTTCTTTTGTAAAATGTCTCTCTCTGGTTATTTTCAAACGTCTCTTCTTCTCGACTTGGTTGTTGTTAACCATGTTCTGTCTTCCCATGCGTAGCGGGCCCCGAGAATTACTGCTTAAGGGCACTTTATACATTTACATTGTTGTTATTATTAAGCTCGTCCATAAGAGAGCTCCAGAGAGAGCATCTTCAGACGCTATCTTGGCCTCCTCTTTCAACGCTGGCCCGACGTTTTGGAAGAGGCGGTGAGCACCAACACTTTAATTCTAGATTTGAAGCTTTCGTGACTGCAAGAATTCATACTGTTATAATTTTTTTTTTCGGTAAAGTCACGTAGGTAAAAATTTAATTAAAATTAATAAAAATAAAATAATAAAATCACGACGTTTCGGAGGCAACACAAGTCTCCGTCATCAGGTGGGACCGTCACAGCCAGATTTGCTGCATCAAGTGAGGCAGGGATTCAAGATGCAAGCTCTTAAATACAAGTTAAGGGGGAGGAGAGAGGGGGGGGGGGGGAGCTTATCACACTTTACCCCACAGCAGGCGACCCGCCGATGTGCTGCGGTGCAACCGTTTGGTGGACAGAGGTGGCCAGCGCGGTGGAATTTAAGCTGCCCACGTGGCAAATAAATCCAGTCCACCCTCGACCCGTCACGCGCACCACTCGGCGCGCACGCCGTCACGAGCCTAACGAGAGATTTTTAAATCCTTTATATTAAGTTCGCTTGCTTGCTTGCGTGCTTGCTTGCTTACGACCGTGCAAATCTTTCGGTCGTTTTTTAACCCACTTCCCGTGATCCAATCGAGCTGACATTTTCCACACAGACTCGTTGTGCGTGACAATTTATTTTCGTCAAATTTTTTTTCCAAAATTTTATACTGTTTAGGGACAATTTTTTAAAATATTTAATTACCAATTGCTTAATGCTGGCAGACAATCATCTGACCCATAGGTGGCAGCCATCTCAAGCCAGAGGACGAGAGGACTCTAGCCGCCACGCATATAAAGGATTTAGAGTGAAAAACTTTGTTTTTACGGGTTAATTTTTTAAAATCGACGCGTCGTTCGGACCCTCGGCGTGTGCCGCGCAGTTTCTCAAAGACGCCGGCGATTGTGGCCTTCCTTCCATTCTCTAGCGCCACGGTTGCCAGGAGATGTTAACCCCCTCGCCTGGTTTACAAGAGGTCGTGGGTTCAACCCCGACACCTGTATATTTGGGGCTTGCATGTTCTCCCCGTGGTCGCGTCGATTTTTCTCCAGGCTCTCCGGTTTTTCCCCTCCACGTTTTAGATGCTTTCGTCGCTTATTTGGCTGCTATAAATGTTCAGTTCAACATACATACGTACAGTGGATGCTCCCAATTGCAATTCAGTTTCGATGTAAAGCTTTCGTGACTGCAGGGATTCATCTTCTTGGTTCTTTCGGTAAAGTCACGTAGTTTTCACCTGAGGACGGCTGCTTGCGTTGTGGCCGAAACGTCATGAGAATTATTTTGTTATGTTTTTTTTTACTTCCCTTCTACGTGACTTTACCGAAAGAACCAAGAAGATGCAATTCAGTTGTTAAAATTGCTTTCGGTGAAACGTAATTCGTCGGCTGGCCTGGCTACAATCCCAGTAAAAAAACATTTATATTCAGTCTACTTATCTTATTACGTGTCAAAAGAACTCTAACTTGGACTTTTTTTTAAACACTCAAAATTTTCTAATTTCCCAACTGCTCAATCGGCGTCCAGGGTCGTCAGAAGCAGTACGTACGTTGAACTTCTTTCGCACCATACGTAGCCAACGGTGCCAAATCGGAGGTGCGAGACGTGACGAACAAGCCGAATAGATCTTCTTGGTTCTTTCGGTAAAGTCACGTAGAAGGGAAGTAATAAAATAATAAAAATAAAACATTATAAAATAATATAATATTTATTTTTATTATTTTATTACTTCCCTTCTACGCGACTTTACCGAAAGAACCAAGAAGATGAATCCCTGCAGTCACGAAAGCTTGAAATCGAAATTTAAGCCGAATAGAATCCATTAAAATAAAATATTCTTACATGTTGATGCTGGCAAGGGAGGTCCCGTGACAGAACCCATTAGTTTAACACGCTGTAGTAGAAGGCTCTCGCAACCAATATTATCCACGAGGTTTTTTTGGGGGTAGATCGCGTAAATATAAATGTGCCGTTAAACCCGCCACCACCTGACACAGCCAACTAGTGAGGTTTGTCACGTAAACAGAACGTGACAATTCGTCACGAGTACAGCACTAACCGGTGTGCTGTACTAGTAACTAGTACAGCACTAACCGGTGTGCTGTACTAGTAACTAGTACAGCACTAACCGGTGTGCTGTACTAGTAACTAGTACTAGTAACTAGTACAGCACAGAGCCAAGCCACATCATTTACAATCAGAGTACGACGTTTCGCTAGTAATTACAACTAGCTTCATCAGGCGACAGCCAGATTTGTGGAGAAGTCCTCCTGTTTAGGTCCTTAACTAGAAGGGTAGGTGTGATGACAACACTTGCGTGCTCTTGGAGAATTCGTTAGGACAACCTCGCGTCAAACGATGCGTTTGCGGAAGCGGATATATCGGAGCTACATTAGAAATCCCATATTCTTAGGTTTTTTCGATAAAGTCACGTAAAAATCACGACGTTTCGGAGGCAACACAACCTGAAGACGGAAGCTTGTGTTGCCTCCGAAACGTCGTGATTTTATTTTATTTTCATTTTACTTTTATTAATTAAAATTTTTTACCCACGTGACTTTACCGAAAAAACCTAAGAATATGAATACTTGCAGTCACGAAAGCTTCAAATCTAGAATCAGAAATCCCTTCGCTCCACACAGCGAAGGAGTGGCGGCGGTGCCGGCGTGTCGGCACGTTCCCC